GGGGGGGTGCCGTGCAGCATGCCAGCGCCTCCAGGCCCCGCCCACTAGCTGTGAACGTCCCCACCCCACCCCCTTCACCTCCCGCCGTGGAGCTCGGCTGACTTCTGCGCCGCTGAGCCAGGCCTCCGTGTGGGAGCAAGCGGCTCAAGCGACCGTTTGGGCTCCAAGCTCCTCATGCAGCACGGACCGTTTGGGCTCCGTGGTCTCCAGAAGAGAAAGAGACAGACGGGGAGAGAGAGGTAGAAGGTGGAGGAGAGCTGAGAGAGAGGGGGAGGCAGGAAGAGGAGGGGAAAGAGAGAGAGAGAGAGAGACTGGAGGCTCAGGAGAGAAGACCGACGTGGAAGAGAGACCTGAAAATCCCGTTTTATGACGGGCTAATTGGCTAGTAATATAAGAACTAGGGGTCACCAAATGAAATTAATAGGTAACAGGTTTAAAACAAACAAAAGGAAGTATTTATTCTACACAATACAGAGTCAACCTGTGGAACTTCTTGCCAGAGGATGTTGTGAAGACCAGGACTTAACAGGGTTCAGAAAAGAGCTAGATAAATTCATGGAGGTTAGGCCCATCAATGGCTATTAGCCAGGATGGGTAGGGATGGTGTTCCTAACCTCTGTTTGTCAGGGAATGGATGCTGGATGACAAGAGAGGGATCACTTAATGATTACCTGTTCTGTTCACTCCCTCTGGGGCATCTGGCATTAGACAGTATTGGCAGACAGGATACTGGGTTAGATGGACCTTTTGTCTGACCCACTATGGTTGTTCTTTTGTTCGAATGTTATGTTCTTATTGCTTTCATTGAAAAGGGGTGAACTTATGAGCTTTCTCTGTGTAACACTTTTACACAGGGTGTGACTGATTAATTTGGGGGTTTGGTTACTTTTGTGGGTTGGTTTCCTGGGTGCTGAAGCCTTATAGCTGAGCCCCACTGGAGCTGAACTGGTTCAATGTGTATGTTGCTCCGCTGGGGGCGGTACCCCAATTCTCTAGTTGGCTGGGGCAGACCAAAGCTTCTGGCTCAGAAGGACAGGGTGGTGTGGAGCCCCTGAAGGCAGGAAGGGGGGTGTCGATGGCTTGATCACCCCACCGGGGACAACCCCAAATGGATTTCTGGGATCTAACCCATCACAGAAACATCATTAACTGATTTCACCCTCCTTCCTCACAAAACCTTCCCCAGAGGAGAGAATCCATCCTTCTCTGCGGGGAAACATTGGCAAAGCAGTGACGTGTGTGAAGCCTTCTGCTTATTGCTGCTAGCAGGCCACAAATGGGCTTTAGCATCCAACCAAGATGGGGAGGGGGGCAAGGAGCTGGTTGCCACAGAAAAAAAACCCACATCCTTCCTGCAGAGACCTCTGCAGCAATTGCTGAGAAGCTCATCTATGTGCCCTCAGGGTGTGTCTATTAGGCTGGCAGACTCTGAAAAATCGCGTCTGGCTGGCAGATGGTTGGAAGGTAACCTCCTGCCTAACCTTTATTTTTGCTTGCTTAGGAAGTTTCCCCGAAATGACGTATTATTGTAATACTAACAAATAAACAGGGATGACAAGTTAGGGATGGTTGGACTCTTCAGGAGGGGCTTGCCAGGGTCTACCCCCTGGATATATCTTGTGGTCTCCACCAGCAGGAGGAAGATTGTCTCGTTGAAAACTACCGCTGGGCCACTCAAGAGCAGAGGTGGGCAATCATTTTTGATGGGGAGGCACTCTAAGATTTTAGAAAGTGGTCAAGGGCCACATATATCTATATAAGGAGTGTGGGGTGCACAAGCGAGCTCGGGGGAGGGAACTGGGGTGCAGGACAGGGCATGGGGTCAGAAAGGCAGTGTGGGTGAAGGAGGGGTTGTGACCTGGGGCCAGGGATTAGGGTGCAGGGTCCTGGAGGGAGTAGTGGTGCAGGAGTGAATTCTGATCTGGTGGAGAGGGCTGCAGAGTCTGGGAGGGAATTGTGACCTGAGGTGGGATGTGAGTGCAGAGCATTTGCGTGTTGGCCTGGGGCAGAGAGTTGGGAAATGGGAGGGACTGGGGTGCTGGAGGCAGGCTCTGGCCAGGAGTCACTTCACTTAGTCTGCTCCTAGCCAGCAGCCCAACAGAGTCCCCAAGGCAGGCTCCCTCCTGTAGCAGCCCCAAACTGCTCAAGGAGGTTCCCTCGTGCAGCCCTGGGAGGGGCGGAGGGAAGAGACTTTGCACACTCCTCTGTCACAGGCTAATCATCGCAGCTGGGAGCGGGGTCTCGGGACGAGGGAAGACACAAACTCTCTCATCCCCTGCCAGGGTCATACGGCACCTAAAGGGAACCAGCAACCATTATAAACAGCCGAAGGCTCCCTCTACACCCCACTCGCCCCTGGTGAGGGGGAAAAGGAGACTTGGCTTATGGCAGGCAGCAGGGCGTGTTCGTTGTTGAAAAAGGCTGGCAGCTCCCTCTAAGCACCGCGCACCCCTGACAGTGGGGAGTTGCCAGCCATTTTGAACAGCTTCGGGGTCTCAAGAAAACTGGTCTTGAGCCGGGTCAAATAGCTTGGTGGGCCGGATTACTCCAGCTCAAAAACCTTACCCGGCTTCGGGAATTATTGAAGTTTGGGGGCATTTTACTAACCTGTTATAGACGAGTGTAAGTGCTGGAGATTAAGTAACATGTAGGTTTAGATCAGTATTTCTCAAACTGTGCTCTGCGGAGCCCCAGGGCTCCACGATACAGCTCCAGGGGCTCCGTGAGGTTGACAAACTGGAAACATTGATAGGTACAACACATACAATCAGTGGACCGCTGGGGCGCCACATATATTTTTACGCATGTAAAGGGCTCTGGAGCCCAAAAAGTTTGAAAACCGCTGGTGTAGATGAAAGCTCTTGTGTGGTCCTGTTTGTGCCAGCCAGCTATCGGTCAGATGGCCACGTCTCTCTGGATTTATTTCTGACACACAGAGTAAAGCTACTGAGATTTTTGGATTAAAGGAACCCCAAATAACACCCCCCCCCACACACACACCCCCGACTGGAGTTGAAGACAGGCTGAAGGGTCAGGGTGACTTGATGAAAATGCACAAGTGACACCTGCTATGAGACGACAGAAATTGGTTTCTGAGTTGGTTAAGCAGATTGCTCACCTGTGTGGGTGTTGCTGATGATCTTCCCTTCTTCACAGCCCTGGAGAACTGGGACCCGCAGCTCCTCCCCTCGCTCCACCCAGGAGATCACATGAGCTGTAGAAACTGGAAATCCTGCTCAGGGAGCAATTAATCAAGTGCTGATCAAGTCATTAAGGTCTGGGCCATTACTGCTTCCCGAGCCAGGATCAGAGTCACCCACCCAGAGAAGCTCCATCCCCACCTTGCAGAGACTGGGCTCTGGTACAAGATCCCAGGACACACTCACCTGCCTTGGGAATGGCCCAGCTTATTTCCCAGGGGAGCTAAGTGCTCTGCTGCACTCTCTAGCATTCAGCTAAGTCTCCCTCAGGGCCTGTTCCATCTCCCCATCCCAGGGCAGGACAGGAACACACTGCTCAGAAGGGGAGCTCCAGTGAGGGCTGGCAGGTCTGACACTGAGGCCCCCACTCAGGGCTCAGACTGCAGCTGCCACATGGCGGATCACGACGGCTTGGAGAGGAAGGGGGGGGGGGCCCTGGCTCGCCCTGCTCTTTGGCTCAGATGATCTACCAGAACCAGGAGGGAGTTTCCTGAGCAGCTAAATGAATCCTTGGCTGGCTTCCTCAGACCCTGCCAAGGGGTACCCTGCAGGTACTAAGAGCAGCAAGACCCAGACCCACAACTCTGGTAACTGCTGTTCCTGCCTGGGCCCTTCACTCACACCTCCGGCCAAGGCAGAACAGGGGCAAGATGGTGGGGAAGCAAACTGAGACCTTGACTGTGGGAAGAGCAGCACCATTGTTATGTCCCTAAACCTGCTTCCCCTGGGAGGGGCCATGGAGGGGCCAGTCTCTCACACAGGAACCAGGATTATTGGGGCAGATACTCCTGACATTGGGGGTGGGAGCAATGAGGGACCCTGAACCAAACACAACCCAGCTGCTCCAGATCCCTCCCAGCTTCTGATACCCGCAGGGACAGGAATCCTTACCCAGCCAGCTCACAGCCTCATAATTCTCCTGCATCACAGCCCAGTAGAGGGCTCTCTGACCCGGGTCCAGCAGAGCCCATTCCTCCTCAGAGAAATACACAGCCACCTCCTCGAAGGACACTGGCTCCACCATAGCCATTTCCTGTCCCTGGCTCTGCAGGCCAGGGGCTGAGCTAGAGACAGACACGGGTGTTCTGCAGCCTGTCGGGGGAGAAGGGCAATTGGAGACATTTCAGAAAGGGCTTTAATCCTTTCCACACCCCCATTCTCCCCAGACTCTGACCCTGTTCACACACTTCCAAGGGCCTAGGCTCTGTTGTTCTGGGCAAATGCTGAGTCTGGATATTCCATAAACAGCGCACACCAGTTAGATCCCAAATCCATATTAATTTCTCTCAATACCTGGCCTGAGTTTTCTATATTCCTGCATCTGCAACAACAGAATTTGGTTCTGAGCACCCAGTTTTTCTGATAAACAAGCTGCATATTCACCTGTCTGAACACAGAGGTAAGTGTATAAATGTAGGCTCCTTCAGTTAAAACCATTAGTTTTCATTCATGTAGTCCATAAACAACACATACAAGTTAAATCCTAAATCCATATTCACTTTGCTCAATACCTGGCTTGAGTTTCAACATTATTGCACCTGCATCAATGGGATTCGGTTCTTAGTGTGTCCAGTGTGTCCATTAAACAAGCCACTTATTCTGCTGTCTGAATATGGATGAAGGTGTCTTATGTGTAAGCTCCTGTGTTTCAAGTACAAAATTATTTTCAAAAGTATCTCGTTGCTTTCACATTTAATCATCTGGCCTGTAGTGAACATTCAGGAAGCAAAATCTACCCAAGTTGCCGGTGATGTGAAAAAGCATTAAGGCTAGGGTGATCGTATTTCTCTAAGTTGAATACCAGACACCTGGTAAAAATATTCATATTCAAGTGAGCTCAATGGCAATCCATCAGAATTAAGGATGTTAAGGACTAGTTGACTATCCGATATGCAAATGCTTTCCCTTTTCCCAGTCAACTAGTCAGTCCCCCTCCCCTCTTGCCTGCCTCTATCAGATAGAGGGTAGAGGGAGTATTTGAAAGCGGCAGCTCCGCATAGCTGAGCCTGGGATCAGGTGTGTGGCGCTGCTGCTTTGAAACGCTGAGGCAGCATTCAAAGGGGAAGCACCATACAGCTGAGCCAGGGATCAGCTGTGCAACACTGGCCCTTTGAACGGGGACCCTGGATTTTGGGGAAATTCTTCACGGAACCCGCAGTCAGCTGGAGACTCCCAGGCTGATCCCAGGTTCTGAGGAAATGCCACATGGAGTCCAGGATCAGCTGGGGAGTCCCCAGCTGAACTCAGGCTCTGCGTGGCATTTCAAAGCAGCAGCGCAGCATGGAGCCAGGGGCCAGCAGGGGAATCTGAGTCCTCCGCTGACCCAGGGCTGCATGAGGGTGCTTCCACTTTGAAATGCACAAGAGCCCCTGCTGGGGACTCTTGCACATTTCAAAGCTGGCACGCCCACATGCAGCCTGGAATCAAAGCAGGACTTTCAAAGGAGGAATGGGGAAGTGCCTACCTACTAGTCAAGTAGTCGATGGAAATTCCATTGACTACTCGACTATTAAATTAACCGATATTTAACATCCTTAATCAGAACTGAGCAGTACAAGGGTTCAAATTAACATCAAATCCCTGTTAAACATAATTACTGAGAAGTTGGAGCCTTCTTATCTTTAAGGCTTTAGGTTTCAAAAGGGAGAGGGGGACACCCCCACACACCTGTCTCACATGACTGGGGTGTCTGATCGACCTGGCCCTGGTGCTCTCCTCTGAACCCAGTCTGGCAAGGAGGGAGGACACACTGCCCTCTCTTGGTACCTGGAATCACATCTCCCTGAGACAGTGCATGGGCAGGGCAACACTCTGCAGGGGGATATGGAGGAGCAGGGGGCTATGGGGCATGAAGAGGCAGAGCAGGGAGAGGACAGCAAGAGGGGGAGGATGGAAAGGACTGATGGGGGGCAGCAGAGGGAACAAGTCACCAGCTGCCACCTGCTCACACTAGAGATGTGAACAAGTCAATGAGTTGACTATCCGCTTTCCCCTCTTTTGCTGCCTCTATCACACAGAGGCAGCAGGAGTGGGGAGGGAGGAGGAGGAGGAGGAGAGAAGGGGGTGCTCGACCTGGCCCTGGTGCTCTCCTCTGAACCCAGTCTGGCAAGGAGGGAGGACACACTGCCCTCTCTTGGTACCTGGAATCACATCTCCCTGAGACAGTGCATGGGCAGGGCAACACTCTGCAGGGGGATATGGAGGAGCAGGGGGCTATGGGGCATGAAGAGGCAGAGCAGGGAGAGGACAGCAAGAGGGGGAGGATGGAAAGGACTGATGGGGGGCAGCAGAGGGAACAAGTCACCAGCTGCCACCTGCTCACACTAGAGATGTGAACAAGTCAATGAGTTGACTATCCGCTTTCCCCTCTTTTGCTGCCTCTAGGCGGCAGGAGTGGGGAGGGAGGAGGAGGAGGAGGAGAGAAGGGGGTGCTTCAAAGAGGCAGTGCCTTGTGGAGCTCGGGGCCAGACCCTGGGCTCCATGCAGCACTGCAACTTTGAAATGCCGCAGGGAGCCCAGAGCCAGCTGGGGACTGCTTGAGTCCCCCTCTGGCCCCGTGCTCCCTGCAGCACTTTTGCCTTTGAAATGTAGCTACACTTAAAAGTCAAAGGCGCCTTTGTTGACTAATCAAATAGTTGATACAAATTGCATCAATTATTTGATTACCCAATTAATCTCATTTTACCATCCCTAGCTCACACTGACCAGTCATTGCTCCTGGCAGCCCAGACAGTGCCAGAGGGAAATGGGATGGGGGGGGGGAGCCCTGCTGGCTGATGCTGACACACAGCACAGGCTGCACTGCTGGACCAGCTGGGGAAGCAGCTACTGGACCCCTCACTTCATGCTGATGGGCAGGCAGCTGGTGAGCAAGGATCTGGCAACAGGACCCACCAGCACTGGTAGGGAGGGTGACAAAAATACGGGATAATTTGCCCGTTTGTAAGGAAAAGTCAGGACACCTGCAGCAGGGCTTAAATTCAGCCCTGTCCTTTTAATCCGGGATGTCTGCACACCCTAACTAAGTGCTGGGCAAGAGGCAAAACAGCAGCTCACACAGGCAGCCCCCAGACACTGAATTTCACCCCCCTGGGCAGCGGCTCTCAGCTAGCAGACAGGTGCCTCATAGCCCTGGGAAGTGGGTGCTGCGACACCCGATACTGGAAGTGGGGAAAACCCTCTGTCCCCCTGTCCTGTATTTTTATGAACACTGCAAATGCTCCCCCCACTGAGGTATTTTTTTGACAGTGCCCAGATTCTGTTCTTAACCCTGCTGCCTGCCCCAATTTTGCCCTTTGGCCCCTCTCCTGGCCCTGTAGCCAGCTGTGTGATCCGCCCACCCATGTGGCCAGTTTGGCCCCTGCACAGACTTTGCCCTCCTCCCCCTGCTTTTTCATGAATCAATTTGCCAACATGAACAAACTTAGGTGTGGGGAACCTTTTTTGAGTTGGTGGCCACTGACCCACAGAAAAGTTAGCCGGGGACCACACACAAGTGAGAAATAACAAGCAAACAAACAAAAACCCTCATTGACAGTGACAGGCCCCTGACTGAGCAGAAAGACACTCCTCACTTTCTCCACACACCAGAGCCTGGGGGGGCTCAGGCTAGTAGATTTTGTATGTCCTAGCCCCTGGGCAGTGGCAGGGGGACCAGAAAGCCAGTGCAGGCTCCCC